TTACCATCTACCCAAGCGCAATGTTTATTCCCATCACTGTGCTTTCCACTAGGCAATGATATGCAGGAGGTCAGAGAAGAGGTTTGTCTTACTGTGTTCATCCAGTATTCATCATGTTGCCTGGCACTTACGAATATTTAGGTATTGAATGAAATGAATGCCAATTTGTCTTGATTTTCCAATTGCTGCAACTATCCTGAAGGCTGTCTACTTGCTTCTTTTTAGTTTTTAGACCTTCTGCTGTTTCTCATTTATTTTTCCTACTGCTTTCTGGACACCTTCTTCCTTTTTGATTTCTGTGCATTATCTTAGACTTCTGCTCTCCAGCTTTGAATCCATGGGAGTTCATCTAATCAGTTCATTTATACTTATGTGTGAACCCTTTAAATGGAAGGCAATCTGTTGGGCACTGCAGAACATATGAGAAAAACAAAAGCCTACTCTTATACCATTGGCACATTTTTGGAAATAGACATTAGGCAGAGAGCAAGGGAGGAGAGGCAAGAACACAAACAAATAATACATTCAAATAAGGGAAGGACACAAGGGCACATAAAGAACTACATGGATTTCAAAATGCCTCACTGCATTCCTTGTTGCTGAGATACTACATAGTCCAAACCCTGAATTTTTTGGCTTCTGGGACCCAACTTTATGCTTTTTTTTTAATGCTCTGGGATTTGTCAATATTAGAACTACATATAAAAGTCTTTTATTGTTACTTGCATATATCTTTATATATCCATAATCTTACTTAAGAATTCTAACTTATTTGTTCAACTGGCAGTTATTTTGATGAAAACAAAAGATCTAGAGAAGTTTGTTTTATAATTTCAATGATAGAGACAATAGAAAAGTCAACTGATTACAGTATATTATTAAATATGCCACAACAATGCTGATGTCACCCTGAAGATATGCCCTTGACAGTCAATACATATCAGCAGCAACAATATAATTTTTCATTAAATTATTCCACCCACTTTCATGAATAAAATTTAGTTAAGTTTTAGAATCCACGAGTAAAGTAACTGCTCTTTTTTTGTTTGTTTGTTTGTTTGTTTGTTTTTTTAGCTGAGCCATCCTGCCACCTGTTGGCAGCTCAGCAGCTGCTCAGCTCGGGCCAGGACTCGAACCACTGTTGCTCAAAGCTCAAACTCTTGAGCAAGCTCTTAACTAACTGAGCCACTCAGCCTGCCCCTAAAGTAACTGCTCTTAAATGAAGAAAGTTCAACTACACTTTTAGAAATGTTTAGAAAAAATTAAACCAAAACTATTTCTTTAATACAGTTAATGCTTTTTATCCCCTTCTTTATAAGGAGAAAAGTTTAGTATTATCAAAATTCATCACTTCGCATTATTATCTTTCTTTATTCAAATATGAATCTGCAAGAAAACCAGCCAGAAAGTGTTTATGTCTATCAAACTTTGGATCCAAATTCCATGGGCCAGTAGTTACCAAAGACGAGTGGAAGCTTAATTGCATGGCAACCTCACTTCAGCAAAAACCAAAATCACACAAAAACAGGGCAGAAAAAACCCAAAGAATAAAATTCTAAGCATATGAACTCTGCAGTATCAAATAAACTTTAATAAGTAAAAATTAATGCTTAATTTAAATCTATCTAGGTAGAAACAAAACTTTTCTGATTACTAACAAAAAATTCATGGTTAGTATGTTTTGTCTGGTCAATTTAATATTGTTAGGGAGAGGAATGTTTGTTTAGCCAGCCATCAAATATGAATTAAGCACACAGAAGAATTTGCATAAAAATGGTGTTTGAGATCGATCCTCAAAGCAGTTTATCAGCTCAGGTATATTGATATTTTGCCATTCAACTCACTGGTTTGCTAGAACTAGTATCCACTTGCCCATGTGATTGAGACTCACAATGAGATGGTATTGACTTAGAGAGTTGTAAAAAATAATTTTTGTGACTTATCAAAACAAAATATTATGAACAAAAACCTTACTGAATAAATCCAGTTCCCAGCCACCAAGGAATATACACTCTGTTGTGAGTGAGTGACGGGAATTCATTTTCTTTCATAGACTCTTTTATAAAAGAGATACCTCAGACAGCCATAAATATAGTCACATCTCTATTTTGATACTTTTTCCCTATTCTATGTTCTATGTGTACATGAGGATATTAGTTAAATAGATGACATTATAACAAAGATAAAATTCATTTGATAATTACAAAGCAATTTCTCCTATTTTTTTCCTAAAGGTCAGTGTGAGTCCAAGACTGAACCAAATATAGCCCAGTCCTTATCCAGGAGGAATGCTTATCAAATTTTACAGAATTACTTGAGATACAACTCATCACTCTGCACTGAATACAACAACATTTTGATAAAACTAAACCCCCAGAGTAAAAGTGTGTTTGGAATTAATGAACTTCAAAGGGAATATATTACTTTCAAAATTTGATCATTTTAAATTTAATGCAATACGGATTATTGTCTTAAAGTGAGTATTGAGATTATTTCATACATTTAATGAAGAAAGTTGAGAAACATCATAAATAATAAAGCCAGTTTGCTGAGACTTTGAAGGCATGAAGTTATGGTAAATGATTTGAGTTACAGTATTTTATTATGTAAATATCATTATTACTTCACTTTCCAGGATGCTTTATGAGCTTGTTGTAATATAATTGAATTTAGTAGAGTGAACAGCAAAACAAGTATTCTCTGTTACTATTCAACTAATCTTTGCAACAGCTGTGCTTTTTACCATTCTCAGCTGCTCCAGTTACAACAATCATCCTTTTAACAGCCTGACACCTGTCTCTTATTATATTAGCAATTATTAATTTTCTTAAATGCCCCGTCCCTTTTGGTGCCTTTGCATTGCTTTATTTCTCTGATGCACATTTACATGGTCTATTATAGTAATTCTCTCACTTAATCTTGAGAATCTAAAAATTATTAGGAAGTTAATTGTGCAAGGATCAGAGGTTTTCCTCACTTACAGCATAACTCTTTTAAATGACACAGTTTGTTCCAGCTTCTTGCTGACACTGCAAGGGATTGTCTAGAACAAAGAGTTCAATTACATTCGCAGTGCTAATCATATATCATTATGTAGAGGCATGAATCCTTAATTCCCAAGCCGGTGCCCAAAGCCGCATGGCAGCCATAAAGGACACATTCCAAATTCTTGTGTCCACTGCAGCATGCAGGTAATAACCGGAGAATAAAATAATTGTGTCTACTTGGCTGTGCTCTTTATTAATTTGAATATTTGATGCCCACAGTGAATCATGTTCCATTAATTTTTATTCACCCACACAGGATTTTTGTCAGAATTGATTCAAGATGCATCGCTCACGTCCAAATCTGTATTTACACTTTTTGAGAATGTTTCCTCCACCCTTTAGGAAATGCTTACCTTCTGGCCCATTGTAACTTTTCAAGGCACAAATAAAACTCAGTAAATAACACTGAACCGCCTCTCACAGGTAAATAATTCCTCAGAGTCAGCAAAGCCTGACTGCGCCTTCTCCCTCCCCTGCACAATCTTAGACACATTGGTTAATGTGTAACTCAGACCATTCTCTTGTTCCGCTTTCCCAAGGTCAGTGAACAAATGGAATCAGAGAGAAGAATATTTTGTTTGTTTCATAGTCAGGAAAATGACTTATGAAATCTCAGAGCAGGGTGTAACCTCATGGAGATAAATGTAAAAATAACTCACCAATCACAAATTATGGAAACAGGAAATCCATGCCTGTGTTTTAGAACAAAGGCACTTTTACACTTCTGGCATAAAACAAGCTACTGTTACCATTTTCTTTCCTCTCCTCCCATTCCTCTCCTCCCTGTCCTCTCTGTCTGAACAGGAAGACTTGCTGCCTCCCTCCGCTCATGTCGCCCTCTGCCCCTTTGTTCTAGCATCTGCCCAGCTGTGGCCTGAGAAGGCTGATAAATTTCCTCCCTTTAGTTGGAGGAGTAACTTCCAAATCTGGAAGAGAGTTATAATCAGATTGCCCTTTGGAAGAAAAGCATGGATAGTGCAGTCCTTACTGATAAACATTTTATTCTTGCCAAAGCTGCTCAGGATCTTACTACCAATTTTATACCTGTTGTTTGGTAGGCTATACTTATAAGAGCATTAGAGATGTTCTGTGGTTGTAAGCGCATCAACTGATTTACAGAAAGTAACTCCAAAAGCAGTTTTCTAATGCAAGCACTTCAATCAAATGGCAAGGTTAGTGAATAGTTAAGTTTCAAATTGTTTAATTGTTATTATTTGCTTGATTTCCCCTAAAATTGAAATTTCTCTCTTTCTTCCTTCCTCCTTTCCTTCCTTCCTTCCTCCTTTTTTTTTTTTTTTTTCAGTAAAGGGTCAGTCTCGTGCCCTTTTGTATTCCATGTACCTAGCTCCCACCTGGACTTTTGTCGACATTCAACTATTTTTTTTTTCTGTGACTGTTTTATAAATCACTGGTAAATATAGCTTCAATTAGTTTATCTATATTTAAAATGTGTTCTATTTTTCAGAAGTTGAAACTATGATATCGGAGTTCTTTTCTGTTGTTCAGTCCCTTTTGCTGCACAATGCTGAAATTAAACATGCACTCTGCTTCATATAACTGGAAACTAGTACCTTTGCATAAATAATTATTTCTATAGATATAGAAGATTATTTTGGGGGTTAACTGGTACTCTTTTGCCGTTATTTATGTAACACACCTTGACCACTGGGAGACATAGCTTACAAAAATATTGCTGTGCTATTTTGTAAATATTTGATAATGTGACAGTTCCTCCAGATTTTGATTATTAGAGCACATGATCCAATCACACTGAGTGCAGTGAGACCAGAACAGTTTGGGATTGGAGAGTTGGTAACTGTAATTAATCATTAATTGACTTACATACAGTTGGAATAGGTCAAAGTTGTGGTAATTATTAACCCTAGTTACATTTTAAAAATAGCATAAAGATCTTTAAAAAAATGCCAATATTACACCAGTGGAATCTGTGATGGGGCCTGGGCACCTGTATTTTCAAAAGCATTCCGAGTGATTGTGATATACGTGAAGGTGAGACTCCTTGGGCCTGATTCTCTCAGTAATATCAATGAAAGAAAAACAGTTTGGGTTCATTTTGACCAAGTCATCCACTGTTGATCCCCATGTACTCTGAACGCTCTCATTACTCTTTTTATTTACTTTCACCCTCACTTATTTATGAAAATATAAAAAGCTGTGTTGGACTCATAATCTTGCCAAATCAATATTTGATCCCATATATTACTGGACCTGTCTATCCTCTTATCTTCAGTCTCCATTTCAAAAGGTATTTCAAATTAGCTCTCTTTAATATCTCTTTTGAAAAATTGTCATTCTGAAATTTATCTTGAAAAATGTATTTACATTCAGTGTATCTTATTAAATCCTGAATTCTATGGTTTTGTTGTTTGAAGTAATACTTTATTTTTCCAAAAGTCACATCCTTCAAAACCCTGACATCCCTTAAATTGTAATACAACAGGATTTTGTAATAAACATGATGTTCAAGTTTATAATTTTATAGAATGATTATTAATGGTTGGTTATTCATGTATATTGTTGGGTGCTCTTTCATTATCATTTATTTTTTTCTGATTTTAAAACAAAATCAATTCTTATATAAAAATGTCAAATTTTGTAACTGAAATTTTTTCATGTAAATATAGTCACAAATCAGAATATATACTCTTAGTTCATGTATCTTTACTGTACAGAAAATAGTCATATTAAATATATTCATTCTTACTTTTCTTTCCTAATCCTCAAGAATGGTTTTCTTTTTCTTTTTCTTTATGTAACAGCATCATATCCTTTTTGTTTTCTAGATTCTGGGTTTTTTTTTTGTTTTTTTCATCTACTGTAATTTATGAATGGCCAGTGGCTGGCACATGTCCATGTATTGATTAGTTCTTGCTGCTAAACAAATTACCCAGAAATGCCATGGCTTAAAACAACAATAATTTGTAACTGCTCTTGCCTCTTGGAAGGTTAGCACAAGTTCAGCTGATGTGGGCTGGGCTTCCTTTGTGGCTTTGCTTCTCATCCTGCACAGGTCTATGGGGTGCCTGGGGCAGGTCTGCTTCAGGCTGTGGGGAGCAGGCTGGTTCCTTTGTGTATATATCTCATCCTTCTCCTGGGGCAACAGCACCACCTGGGGTATGTTCTTCTCATGAGAATGGCAGAGGCATGTGAGAGCAAGTGGAAACACAGGAGGACATTAAGGTCTCGGCTTAGAAACTGTGTACTTCTACCCACGTACCACTGGCCAAAACAAGGTCCAGAGCCAACCCTGAGTCCAGAGATGGAGAAGTCCACTCTTCCCTCAGTGAGGCCATGCGAAGGAACGGAGCCAGAAAGAAGGTTGGAATGGGGTCAATAAGTCAATTTATGAGACAGAAATATTCATTCTTGTGCTCATAGCAGATACCGTTGCTATGTTAAATCACTCGTTTCTACTGAGCTAAGGTTGGCCTTGGAATTCTTCTCAAGTTAGTGTTCTATGATGCTATGCTAAACTGATTCACTAATAAAATAGAATCCTGTTTTCCTTTTCCTATTTAGTGTCCATTTTCTTCATGTTTATTTTTTCCTTTACCCTTTATGTTATTTAAAGATTAAAACTTGGTCTAGATCAGGTGGCTGGTATAAAGCATTAGTGACTCCACATATATTTTATTTAACCAATGCTTCATTTTTACCTTACATTAGAGAGAAATGATACTTCTCTGCCCTCTTAAGTTATGTGTGACGATTGACTTACCTTCCTAATGTAATATGGGCAGAAGTGACTCATGTCTCTTCCAGGATGAATCCTTTAATTTTAAGACTCTTTAGTACTTTCATCTTTGCCATGTGGTCATGCAAACAGATACTGCTATGGAGGTGTGACACTGACCCAGTATGTAGAAGGCAGGTCCCCTCAAGCATCAATCAAACCCACCACCAATTTGCAGAAGTAAGGAATAAAATATTTTTAAGCCACTGAGATCTGGGGATTTTCTGTTACCCACAACTTAAGCCATTATGAACAAACTGTTTTCCCAAAAGTGGAGCTCAGATAAAGAAACGTGTCAAGGAACACAATTCACTGGAGCCAATTCAATATGTTAGATGAACAAGAACAGTATAGTCTTACAGAACTAGGAGAAGAAGACCTAAGTAGGCAAATGTGAGTAGTTTTCAATATTTCTCAGTTCTTTTTCTTTGATAAGAAATTCAAATTGATGATAGCCTTTGGAAGAGCTCTTATTCTGATCACTATATTACTACGTAGGAGACAATAACATCAAGTGAGAAAAGGGTGCTTTTAAAATGCCAGGCAAAGGGACATCTTAAGCAAATTTTCCTTTTCTACTGATACTCACAGCTGACTGACCTGAGGTTTGACCATGGAGGTATTGATTGGGAAGCTATCTTTGGAAAACTTGTCTATTCAGCCTTTGTTTTACATCAGCCTAGTCTTGGAAAGAAATG